ATCTAAATTATCATGAAACGAGTAAGAATTGTGAAAATTATACTACAGGGTATAATTAAACTAATGGAATAATCAATAATAAAAAGCCTAGGGTATAGGTTCACCAATAAATACTATTCCAAGGTAAAACACAACAACCAATCATCAATGCATCAATTAATCAGATCATAAAGGGCTTTCGCTACGTATTACAATAACAAAATTAATCTACCGGTGTTAAATCGCATCTCTCGAATCTTGACTTAACCATTTATAAATTAACCTGCCTATTGAAACTAAGCCTAAACATCAACTCTCATCTCTTGAATCTCGAATCAATATTGCATAACTCATACAATTAAACCAAGCCTAATCTAATTGCATAGCATTAAATCAATCAATAGGAAATCAATCAAGCATTGACAATCAACAATAATAAACTAGCCCTTCATATTATTTATGGATCCCCACAAACCCTAGAATTAAACTACTCACACATAATTAAATCTAAACTAATCAAAGCAATTAAGCAAGACATAATTAATCAAAGCAATTAAATTACTGAAAATAAAAGGAGAAGAAATTGTTACCAAAATAAACGGAAATGATAAATTTTATAAATCAAAAGTGTAGAGAGAAAACAACAATATTCACCAAAGCTTAAAACTAAAATCTAGAAATTAACTAATGAGGAGAATCGTACTCGTCACTTGCTAAAAACGTATTTATACTTCAACTTAAAAATCCTAAATAAAAACAACAAATTAAATCGTCAAAACACCATCAGAAACACGCGCCCGGTCAGGTGAACCTTCCTTTTTGAACATCGAATCTTCACTCGCGCCCAGTCGGGCGCGAAATAGGGCGTAGGCTTCTCTCTTCCTTCTACCTCGCCCGGCTGGGCGCGCCTTAGGGCAAGGCACCCACCCGGTCGGGCGAGCTCCCGGGCAAGAATGGACTCTCTCCTTTGGGCTATGTTCTTGGCCCAATTCCAGGTTTTCCACCTTGGGTCTTGAATACTTGTTCCATTGCCTCGGCCTCTTCTTTACCGAGCCCTTAATCACCGATTTGACGACTCCAAATGGTCTTGGGCTATGAAATATGGTCATAATTCTCCAATGCTTGTAGCGGCTTACTATAAGTCTGGGAAAATGCTCGAAATCTGCAATTTCTTATAAAATAGTGTCAAAACTACGAAAACACTAAAAAACGCATATTAGTAATAAAAGTGGCTCTAAAGAGCCAATAATACTCCTAAATATGACCAAAGGACGGGGGTAAATATCTATATAAAATGAACATATCAAGAGGTTTTCCAACCGTTCCCCGGTCAGTAACTATTATTGCTTTTCTTTTTTAACAGCCACCAGCTGGTCGACCTTTCTTTTCTTATCGGCCGTTGGTGGAGCGGGCTCTTCCTCCTTGACATCATCAAGGTCTATTGGCTCCTCGCCCTGGCCAGCTGCGGCCACTGTGGGCTTGACATCTAAGAGCTAACACTCTCTAGCCATCTTCTTATTCCCATTCAGGGAGCTAACAGGTCTGTCATCCTTTTCGAACTTCAGTAGCATGAGGGATGGGATAATGAAGACCTTGGATTTTTTCAAAGTTGGAAGACCTAGATTGAGATTATAGGCGGTCAGCTCCTCCATGACTAGGAACTTGACAACCATGTGGCGTCCCTTTCCTTTCTCTCCCAGTTCGATGGGTAAGTCAATCCGACCAACTGGGTGCACAACCCCACCCCCAAAACCAACCAAGGGGTGAGTAACCTTGTGCATGTTGTTGGGCTTGTACTTCAAATTGGATAAGCGCTTGTAGCTGATGATGTCAGACGAGCTACTAGTGTCTATGAGGATCCGGCAAACCAGTTGGTTAGCAACCTTGCATTCGATGACTACAGGGTCATCATGCAACCGGCGGATTTCGCCTCGTTCCTTCTCACCAATGATAACTTTAGGGAATCTGCTGGCAGACGCCTGGCCTTCATCAACTGAGTTAACATCCATCTTTCTCAGATGGTCCTTGGTGCCCCTGGTGGTTGGGCCCCCTCCGGCAAAGTCGCCTGCTATGGTGTAGATCGGCTCTTTGTCAGTGTCCGAACTATTAGTAGGCTGGGCAGTCTTTTTAGACGACTGTCTTGTAACACCCTAAAAATTTCTTTCCTTTAAATACATGTTTTGCCCTTTTTGAAGTAGGAAATTCTAGGACATTCTAAGACAATACCGCCACCGTGAAAACGGCTAAGGCAATTATCAAAGACACACAGCGGAAGACTTTCTTTAAAACCATTCAAAACAAGTCAACTTAAAAGTCAAACCAAACGAAAGTAAAGTGAAACAAAGTTGACCTACAGCTTGGAACCTTCGTAGCCCCTTAAAACCAAACAATACTGAAAACCTTTACGTTAGTTTAATGAGCATAATAAAATAAATAGTATTCAAAGCAAATAAAATACATCATATTCCTATGGAAACTAAGCATGATTCACTCTTCACTCGTGCCCGTCATGAAAATGCTTCATCACCTGAAAAACTTATCTCTACTTGTCCCCACTACTCGCCATTAGAAATGAGTCGTCGTAGGGCAAAGATAAAGACAAGGCCAACCAAACATACAACACACAATCAGCAATGCTGAGTACATAAGCGTAATAAAACACACTATCATGCTTTCATCTTATCATCACACAACTTACCTTGTTACATCTGTAAACAAGCATACAAGACATTCAACACTTAACTAGACAAATACCAATGTTCATTTAATGGATTACGCATCGAACGGGTTTCCCCCTAACCTGCCCCAATAAAGGGATACTAACACGGGAGCTAGATGTGCCAGTATAAAAGAACCACTCGTAAGTGGCAGAATTCCTACGCATAATAAAAACGAATATACAGCGTCCTGTACTCCCAGTAGAAGTTATGGTCAAATATAAAGTCGCATAACGCACCCCATATGTTCATACTCAAAGTATATATGTTTCAAGAGTATTGGTGCGTAATCTCTTTCACTTTACTTTGCTTTACATATTATTATACTTGTTGATGACTCTCAAACCATAACATAATCAAACATTATAATTCATTCAAGCAATCAAACATACCAATTTAATTCTTGAATAATTAGTGACCACATAAATTTAATGTTGAATCCTTTTTAAACTACCTCGGTGCTAAATAACACCTTAAGCGCATAAAGCACCACAAATCCTATCCATTGGTGTTTAGAATACCTTAAGTGCACTTAGGCACCAAAATATAATTTATTCCTCGTGTACATAGACACTTAAATAGCTCATTCCTCATGCTTATAGCATCAATAAAAATTTTATGAACCATAATAAAATTTCATTTTCATATTCCAAACCAAATTAAACATTTAGTTTAATTAAACATGTCATCAATCATGATAATAATAAAAGTGTAGTTCATATCCAACATGCCAACATATTTAATTCCAATCACCAATTCACCATAAATAATTCATACCTCACAAATCATTTACCAACATCAATCCAATCAACAAATTCCAACAAACACCTATCATGATACTAGTTGGAACTAATTTATCAAAGCCTAGCATGCTTCTATATATTCAAATAATTACCAAGTACGCGAACATACCTTGAATATGATCTCAAAATCGCCACGACTAAATAAAATCACTCACTTGGAAATCTCCTACAAACCAAAATTACAAAGAGCCATTATTACCTATTCAATATAAATTTCAAACAATATGTACACTCCTTAAATCACTCATAAATCCTTTAAAACAAGTTAAAAGTTAATTTAAAACCCTTACTTTTATTCCCAATTAATGGGTAATTAAAAAATCCTTTCAAGAAACGTAATTATAGCTTATATATAAAATATTCAACTTTATTAAATCATCTAAAATTGTTTTAATTGGGTTTTAAAACACTTATTTCAATAATTTAAATCACCCATAAACAATTTCCATCAATATACATAAACTTAGAAAACTAGGGTTTATAATTTGGGGCTTTTTAATTCAAAACCAAATCTAAAAATTTATGTACATCATACTTAAAATAAAACATCATAAAAATCATCACAAAACCCAAAATCAATAATTAAATCAAGGCTAGATTAGGATTAAAAACAAAAGAGAATTTTTTTTTTTTGTTTAAACACCAACAGCCACAACACCAAAGCAGGGTTGCTGCCGCGCGCCCGCTAGTGGTGCCGCTGCTGGCGCTGGCGTTCACTGGTGTCTGCGGCGGTGACCAGCGACGTGTGGTGGTGGCCGGCGTGTGGTGTGAAGAAAATAAGGGGAAGGGGGAAAATAAGAGGAGAAATAGAGAGAGGGTTACCTTTGGGTATTCTCCACTTTGGGAAAGGTTCAATTTGCCCATGTAATAGGTATTTATACCCCCTCTCTAAACCCTCCTACTTAAATTCCCCTTTCTACCCTTAATGATCCCTTCTCCTATTCAAACTACTCTTTTGACTTTTTTTTAAAACTCGTTGACTTTAAAATTTCCTTTTATAAAATAATATGCCCCAAAGTTTCCAAATCATGAAATAAAATATTTTCAAGATTTTTAAATAATTAAAAATAAAATTTTAATTAAAATAATTCTTTTTAAATTAATGAAACACCATAAATAATTCATTTCGAATTATTTAAATACTTTAAGAAATACTTATTTAAGTTAAAATACGTATAAAAATACGGGGTATTACCTGCCCGGGGTCCGTCTTCAGAGTCACCGTGGACTTGAGGATGTAGGATTTCAGATCAACACCCACTTATCAGCCAATCAGTCCAACAGCCGCTTCAGACTATAGCAGTCGTTGGTGTTATGGCCAATATCCTCATGGAAGTGGCAGTACATATTTTTGTTCCGAATTTTGGCGAAACCTTTTATTGCAGCGGGCTTCTCTATGGTCGACCGATCTTTTTATCTCCATGAGGATGGAGTAGCAGTCTTTGTTAAACTCGTACCTTGGAACGTACGGTTTAAACTCTTTACTTTTCTTCTAGGCCGGCTAATCAGAATCCTCAATTGCCCAGATTTCTTTTCTCTTTTTTATTTCTTCAGCCTTTTGAGCCGGTTGTTCTTGCCGACTCCCTTTTTGTTTGTCAGACTTCTTAGAATCCGACTGCTTACTAGTGGAGCAGAGCTCGGTCGCTTGCATATAGGCTTCCGCCTCCATCAGCGCTTCTTTAAGAGTAGCAACCTTCTTCCAAACGAGGTCGAACTTAAAAGTTGACATGTTCTTCACACCCTTATTGAAGTTTGTGTAAGCAACATCGTCAGACATTCCTTGAATCTGGATTCTCACCAGATTGAACCGCCTGACGTATGATCGAAACCCCACTCTGTCTCCCTGTTGTACCGCGCTCAAGTTGAGGCTTGTCTTTTTGGCGGGTATATTCATGGAGAAGTTAGAGGCGAACAAGAACGAAAGCGTCTTGAAATAATTGATGCACCCAACCAGCAGATTGCCGAACCATTGTTGGGCAATGCCCTTCAATGTAGCTGGGAAGCACCGATACCAGGCAGCATCATCCAACCCCTGTAAGTACATGAGGTTGGTGTAAACCATGAGGTGGTCCTTAGGGTTGGTGGTACCATCATAGATACCTACCAAGACATTTTTAACCTTGGTCGGCTGTGCCGCTTCGGTTATCTCCTTGGAGAACGCAGAAGGTTGTTCCCCAAGTTTTAAGACACGGAGCTACTAGTCCAAAGGTTGGACATTATATGTCGCCTGACCCTTGAAGAGAGCCGGCTGCATGTAAGGCTGGGCATACAGCTTGTATGGCTGCTGGGGCGCATACTGAGCCAAACTAATCACATGAGGGCCTGTGTAGACAGAAGGGCCGCCTGACTGGCTCTCATGCATAGATTGAGAATACCTCATCAAAGTATTCTTGAAGTTGTCTGGGAAACTCGACGTTAAGGCCGAATCAGACAGTTATTGATTTTTCTTTTGCTTAATGTAAAGGCAAGCATCTGAAAATGTCTTCTTGGTGCCATCTGGCTGAACATGCCGAATGACCTTCCTCTTCTCTGTCTCGGGGAAGTGAAACTTAGACAGATCAGTCAAGGGCCGACTCCTCTCCTTTGTTTTAGGATGCGAAGTGGGCTCTCGATCCCTGACAAACTTGTTCTTCTCAGAATGAGAAGGCTGCTTGGCCGACTAATTCTTGTTGGGAATAGTCGTCCTTTTGGTGATCAGATCCTTGATCTCTCCCTTGAAACTCGCCATGAGTTTCATGAGCTCATTGATCTCGGGTAACAAGGGCAGTCTCTCCTGCCGCCTAGGGCTGACCAGATGGCTGGCTAGATGACTTTCCTGGACTCTATTGGTCATTTCCCTATTCCCTTATATCTTTGGGATGGATGCGTTTGGTTCTAAGTGACCCATTTCCGGCCACATACGTTTCGACTTCAAAGTCATCAATATCATGGTCTAATTAGACCTCAAATTTGGCCGTAGGCCGTTTCTGATTAGGAGGTGGTACAGACTCTTGTGAAACCATATTAGAGGTACTCTCCCCACAGATGGCGCAAAATATTTCGAGGATTTCTGTGTCCCTTGGGAGAGTTACGTCACCAAGACTGGATTCCGGTCACCTGTACCTACAAAACCACGGAAGCTCCGGTTGGTCGGAGTTCCGCCTCCAACAATCAAGTTAGTAAAGATTCGGAGTAAAAGAGTGCGGAAAAGTAAATATCTTCTCGGATTCCAAGATCAGGTGTTTTCTCTGTTTTCGAGAATAATAAATGATGTAATGATTGAATGAGCCCCCAAAATGGGAGGAATCTCCCTATTTATAGGGTCCTTGGGATTTGTGACCATGTCCTAGGTTACAGAAACCTAAGACTATGGGCTGCGCCGTTTTAGGGCGGTCTAGGAAATTGGGCCTTGAACGCCACCAATTCCATATGGGGTATCTGCCTGCCATGTGTCTAGCCCTGGTAGGTCCACTTTGGACTCTCCCTAGGGTGACACGTGTCACACTCTGGTCAATTTTACCCAAATCAAATGATACATTTCACATATCAATTTTTAATATTTAAAATATTTACGAATTGTCATGTTATATACCAACAAATACATAACATTACTCCATTTTACTTCTTCAACAAGACAACTGAAAATTGGTTTTTCACCACCAACTAATTCAAAGAATTCGTTGAGTGGGGTCTATCATGTCCACGTGTCATCAATATATTGGGTGCAAAAAAAGGAAAAATAAAAGAAATTAAAATAATTAAAAAAAACAGTGAAAAAAAAAAATCAACCCCTACCGCCACTTGCCCACCCCTGTGCATCCCACCCCACTACCGACCCCATCCTGACCCTCGAAACGGCCACCTCCCCAGCCCTCGACCACCCCCGACCCTAAAAAAACCACCCCATCTATTTCCCAAAAAATATTGTAACGGAAAACGGGTGGATTTTGGTAAAAAGGTTTGTTTTGAGAAACTAAGGGTGAAAGGCCAGCTTGTTCTCAGATTATGCAAAGGTTGGCTCATTTTGAGAAGATCAATGAACTATAAGATTATTTATTTCAATTTTTCTTTAAAAATATCACCCCCCCACCTTTGTTTGCTCGATGTTTCATCTTCCAACCCCAATCCCTAAAAATGGTGAAATTTGTTCATCTTTAATTCTCAGCATACCATACTAATCTCTCTATCTCATTTTGGACTTACAAATTGAAATTTTCTGCTCAAAGATTCAATCCTAGTGGTCCATACCGAATAAGAACGTGTGATTATTATGAAACGGATTTTAACCAAAAAAAAAATAATAATAATAATAAAATAAAATATTGCAATTATTACAAAATTGAGGGAACATAAAGCAAAAATGTGGATCAAAGTGGTGTAAGTAAATAGTGCAAAAGTAGAGCTTATCAAGTATGGCCCGGCCCGATTTTTGGGACGGGTTTGGGAATGCGATTTTATTCATTTTAGTTAATTTTTAGGCCCGACCCGAAACTGGCCCGAAAAGCCCTAACGGCCCGGCCATTTTGGACGGGTTTGGGCACAAAAAATTCGGCCCGAAACTTGGAGATTAGAAAAAAATCATTTTAGATTAGATTAGATAAGTTAAGCAAAAATAAGTTAAGCAAAAATAAGGGTACACAATACACATGAATATTGCAAAAGTCAAATTGTAATGCTCCCTCTATAATTTTTTTTGGCCCATTTGCTTTTACAAGTAGCACAATCACCAATGCAATATTGCAATTAAAATATATCAAGTCAATTTATGTATAATAAAAAATTAACTCGTTGGACTTTTATCACTATTTTGAAACCTAGAATCGAGACGAATCTAAGAAAACCTCACATGATTATATTTTGAGCAATAAAAAATCTTGAAAATAAAATGAAATCTCTTAAAATTTCAAATGGTAAAAACATTTAAAAAAATATGGAATATTTATACTAACAACGCTTTTTTTGTGTGGTCAGTGGTCAGCCACATCGTGCGGCAAGCTGACACACCCCAGAACACTGACCGGGTAATCCCTGATCGATCATGTAACCCTTGACCAACCGAGTAACCTCGACCACACCGCGTGGCCAACCACATATGAAAATTTGTGTTACACCAATACATTAAAAGGTGTTCTTAAGAATGTCTATGTGTCACATAGTCCCCTTTACGTCATCCAATAAATCAACATTACTCCATATATAAAAACATAAGGATAAAAAGATTTAAACATCCAACCTCTCAAAGAAGGATGATTATTTAACCATTTAAGCAACATCAACCATATTATATATATATATATATATATATATATATATATATATATATATATATATATATATATATATATATATATATATATATATATATATATATATATATATATCAACAGCTTAATAGTTAGGAAATAAATTACATACCTAGTAGTAAGGTCGGTAAACTACCCAATGAAGTCTTACTAGCTCCAATGGTACCAACATTACAAATACAACTTCAATACAACTTCCTTACAAGAACTAGCCGATCTGAAAAACCAAGTACAAGACTTCGAGCTTGCTTAATGAGGTACCAAATTTTACCATTGTTGACTTTGTCTCTCACATCCCATTGAACCTGGAGAATGGATGGAACAGCAGAGAAAGAACAGCTTTTGGCAGACAACAACATGATCCCCAAAGAACACAAATAGTCCCGAATTGTAGGTAAAAATGATAGGAAAATGAGACGACCATGGCTTGACAACACAAACTGGGTCGCTTTTACAAGTAAAAGGGACTCGGTACCCTTAACTGTGGATACCTTTGATCTCTTTTCTAAGGAAGTGATCATTATCATACTAAAAACCCCTACAAGAACTTATGAGAGCCCCCATGTTGGAGAGCAGGGTTGAGATAAAGGTTTTTCAAAGTAATCGATTGAAAATCCATTGCTAAGCTGAAATGAAGGGTACCAAGAGATAACCTTCCAAAAATGTGTTGATTAGAGAAATCAAAAGAGGTAACGACACACAAGCAACAAGCCAAGACCAATCTCATAAACCAAATCAGTCCACAAGAAACCGCAAATCCAAAATTTACCCAAGCCCGAATAACACCGAAAGAAGAGGCTACACACCCCCCTAGCTCCCTTAAACTCCTGTAAAGCACAAGAGTACACATGACCAAACCCAATTGGAACAAAGAAGGTTGCATCGAAGAGCATTTTACACTTTCGACAATTAAGTTTAAAAACAAGAAAGCCGCAATACATACTAAACCACAAACTTATCTCCCACAAACTGAAAAAAAGACTAATACACATCAAGAAGCTAAACATGGTAACATGCAAACTAAGATTAAAGAGGCTAAAAAAATAAATGAAGAAACCCTAACCAAATCTTTACCTTTACCGTCTAATTTCGTTCAATATGAAATTACACACGGCGGCGATGAAGTTAGCTCCGATTTTAAGCCAAAACCCCTGTCAACCAAATTCGACACCCCATAAACAACAAATCCAAATCCTAATCCAAACAAGAAACCCTAACTATAACGCCCCGATTTCACGTAACCTTAATTGGCTTTACTAAACTATACTAAACTCGTCATTCGCTGCAGAATTAATCATAATCATATATAACCTCATATCTGTGGGTTATGGGCCCACAAATAAACATACTCCTTAATGAAAACATTCAATAAATAATACAACTCCGGTCTTCCTTACTATAATAAAATAATCAATCTATCTCAGCTCTTAATGATCTATAATACATAAGACTTGATTCTTTTTCCATAAGTCCTCAACAGTAAAAATAATTCCTTTAATCCCTTAGCCTTTACGAACTTGAGCTTTGTCATACTTATACCTGTAAATATCCATAAAAATAGAAAACAGAGAAAACCCAGGAAAATTCCAAAAATGAGTGGAAAACTCAGTAAAATTACTCTAGCCCGCAAAACTGTTCTTCTTTTAAAATCATTTGAGAACATATCTTACACTTTATACATACATAGTTGTTCAGAAATAATCTAATGTCATCATTTTTAAAGTTGTGTCGGCAAGGATCATTCCCTTTACATAGGATCATAAGTAAGTTCAGGTTTTGGACATAACATAATTTTTATTCGTGTTGGGATTACAGTTTCCCCATTTCATTTCATACTTTCCTCCACATGTAACTCAACCATTTACCATGTTAGTTCATTTTCCAATGTCGACAAAAGTAACATCTATCATATCATATTAAATCATTTCAGAACAACTTTATACCTCATATAAATTCATAGCACATTGGCACATTTCATAATCATTCATTCGTAACACTTAAATAAAATAACCATAATTATTAAACATTTAACAGGGATAGGACATTTCCTACTATCAGGGGGAGCCAGTGCTAAGTTAGTGCTCCATATCAGGAATGGGCCATTATCCTCAGGGAAGCCATTACTCAATCATAACAGATCAATTTTACATTTCTTATAAATTAACAGAATAACAAGAACAACAATCATGCATATCTTGTACAATGGTAAGACATTTTACAATCAATCATACATTTCAGTATATCGTAAAACTCATCCATATAGTATCCTTGTGAGTTCTCATAAGTCCTTCAATAGAATTCATGTATTCATAACCTTTTTGATGGACATGCTAGTCGCTGGACAGTATGACATGGCGGAACGTCTTCCGCGATGGGTAGGTGCCCATAACATAGATCAGGTGCTCGACATAATTGGGCTGGTGCCCCATGGGTACATGCATTGCATGACCGAAAAGTCGTAACCTGTAAACATATACTATCAGACGGACTAGGTCTTCACTGTTATTTATCATGTTGTGTAACTTTTAGATAAGTTATTCGTAGATTAATAACGAAATTTCGTGAGATCTAAATATCAATAACACATCGTATATTCATAAAATCATTCATATAAATCATAAGAATAAGATACCTCATTTATTCTCCAATAATCATCATCCGAACTCTCAACCTCCATCATTAGTTTCTCATTGCCACGACTTTTTTAACCATACCCAATAATAATAAGTACTCATTAGTAAGTTCTTAATTCAAAACCTTTAATAAAATAAATATAGACTTATTTTGAGAGAATAAAACAAGTATTACATCATTCAGAGTAAAACAAGCACTACTTTGAAAATAGATACTACAACTATTCATACTAGTAGAAAAAGATAAAAACCGTAAATACTTTAGTTATTTAGCATGAAATTGCCAAAACTTATTTCTAGAAATGTATATTACGTAGCTTTTGGTAAAAGGAAAACAAGCATACTGCTTCAATATGAGTAAAACAAGTACTATCACTATTCCTTTTTACATACTACCTCCGTTTTTTTTGACACGTTTTAACTTTAGCACTATTCATTCATTCTTTTTGACCATATTTTGTGCCTTATATGTAATGAAAAATATAGTCATGTGGGATCTTGTTAGATTCATCGCGATATATATTTTCAAAATATCAACTTTTCAAATTATTTGTCTATCGATAATTAGAGATATTAATGGTTGAAGTTGTGCATTGCCAAATGTGACTAAAAAAACGTGTTAACTAAAAAAACGGAGGAAGTATAGCAACTTCTATTAATTATTGATAGCAAAAGTGGACATAAAACAAGTATTAATTAAAAATGAGTAAAACAATAACAACAAAACTCATTTGAGAAATGAGTATTATTACTACGTAAGTAATGATAATTTACTATATAAAAGCAAATACTACCATAATCATTTATTTAAGAAATAAGAGTTGTTTTCCCAAAATTAAGTCAAACTTATACTCAAATTTACTAGCAAAAAGAGTAACTTACTTTGGGTATTCGTAAGAGCAAGCTCAAGAGTTGGGTCTTATGTGGTTTTGGCAAGAACAAAACCACGAAAGGAGGGAGGAGAAGTTCGCGGCAGCCGTTAACTTGGTCGCCTCGAGCAAGAGACGGTAAAGGTGGTGACGTTTAATATCTTTGGAGTATTATTGCTAGAATTTAAAAGAAGAAGAAAGATAGAGTTTGTCATGTGGATTGATAAACATAAAATTGCTAGAAAATGTGAAGATTAGTGAAACAATTGAACAACAAATGGGAAAGAAGCAAATTCTGACTTTGCTCATTTTTCTCAGTTCTTAACCGTGAAGGAAGAAGAAATTACGAGGTGGCTTTTGTCTTTTTGCTGGAGGGGATAAGCTCATGGGGCTAAATTTAATAAATCAAGTTTGGGATTGTAAAATTGAGCAGCAAGTAAAAGAAGAAGCAACACTAAATTTGGCTTTCAATACTTAATCGTGAAGAGAAGAAGGAGATGGGTCTTATCTCATTTAGTAAGTAAGGATATTTTGGTCATTTTACTTTCTCAGTTAAAATACAATTTTTGATGTAAATCTTTGAACATTTAACAAAAACATAAAAATATCACTTGATCGGAAATAAACTTTTAAATAATAAATACTTTCCTTCGTAAAATTAACTTTCGCAAATAATACTTCGTATGTCGTTAAAATAAAATTAAGACTAAAACATTCGTTTTTCGTGAAATAGAGATTAAAATTTAATTAAGCTTATAATATAGATTAGAGTATAATAGATCATGTTTTAAAATCTCGGGTATTACACTAACCCTAACCTTTACCTTTGCCGGTGAAATTACCAACGGCTGCGATTGGGAAAGCTTTGAAAAGGACCCATGATTTTATTGAGATTGTTGATAAATTGAACTAAGGATGATGGGTTTAATGCTTGATTTCTTTCTAGCCAATTGATTTCATGATTTGATTGCTATTATGCTAGTTGTGCAGAAGTGAGCTAGCCTAGTAGAAGAATTTCATCGTTTAGTTGACCACGACCTTATAGGCGGGGTTGAGAGTTTGACTACCTAGAGTGTGCGGGAGTGACCTAGGTTTTTGAACAATTTCTCCATTCTATTGACTTGATCAATTAGAATATTGATGTTTATTTGTTTGCGATTGATTAGTGCCTATATAATGATGTATTTGGGTATTTCTTGGTGTATTGAATGTACTCATTGAGGTGTGCTTATTGCTTACTTTCTTTCCGACTGATTGAATGCATGATTTAATTGCTACCCTTATTAGTTGATTGGAAAAGAGCTAATTAGGTAGATGTGAGCCTCCTTGAGTTGATCACGTGTCTTTGGCCAGGGTTGGGTGCTTGATTATGTAGTGTGCTCGGAAGAGACCTAAATGGTTAGGAAACACCCCCTCTAATTGATTGAGAATGCCCATGTTCATTGTTATGTTTGTGCTCGTCTCGTTAATTTACTTGATCCCCTTTCCCTAGTGCCTTCACTTCTTGTTTTGGCTTCTTCTTTTGTGTTCTATTTGCTAGTTTATAGGTTTTAGTTGCCTTTTATACACCAAAAAGAAAAAAAAAAAACCTCGATAAGTGAATTTAACTTTAACCAATTCTTTTCACCTATTTAACTAGGTTCCTAGACCCACGACACCTAGGGATCCGATCACATATATGTAGCATAAGGGCAAAGAATAAGCATTTAATATTTTCTATTTTTCTTAATTTGATATTAATTTAGGAACGCATGACAAAATCACTTGCAAATTAGTGTAAGTAATATTCTTTTTTTTTCCATTTTGAGCTTCTTATATGTAGCACTTAAGACTATGTGTTTCGGGGTTTTCTGTGTCTCTCGGGAGAGTTATAGCACCAAGACTGGATTCCGAGCGCCTGTACCTGCAAAACAACTGAGACTCCCGTTGGGTGGAGTTTCGCCTCTGACAATCAAGTTAGAACGTGTTCGGATGATGTAAAAAGTGCGAAAAGTAAAGTATCTTCTCGGATTCCGAGATCAAGAGTGCTCTCTCAGTGGAGAATATCTGCAATTAATGATTGCTTTGTTTTCAGAGAATATTTGTGAATATGCTCCCAAGTGGGAATTTCCATATTTATAAGGTCTTAGAATTTGTGCCGTTATCCTAGGTCATAGAAACCTAGAAATGGTGGGTTGTCTCGGGAATTGGGCCTTGAAATTGGAGATGCCACGTGTCAGCAGATGAGAGGTTCATTTTGAACCTCTTCAAGGGTGACACTTGTCACCACCTTATTGGGCCATGTGGCCTTGGGGTATTTTTTACCCAAATCATTTGCCCTCACAGGTGTAACGTGGCGTGTCACGTGGCACCTATGACAGGTATCACATGCTGAAGGGTGAACAGTATTTTTTTTTATTTGTGACGGTTCACCTTCTGGGGAAGTTATAGGGGTGCCCCTATTTTCATCTTGGAAAACTTTTAAAGAGAGGGAAAGAGAAGACTTAGGAAAAGCTCTAATATTGCCTGCACTTGCTTTCATAAAATTCTCTACTACTTCCGCCTGACACAGCCGGTATACCGTCTGTGTAGCCTTCGCCTAAGGTACACCAAAATCGTCTGGGTATATTCCAGTAGATTCGCTTGTTTTCGAAGTACCTACAGCCGGTCATCCGCCTGTGGACTCAACAACTAGAGCTTTAGGGAACCGCCTAGGTACACTTCCAACAACTTCTCTTGCTTTCCAAGTAGTTACACCCGGTCAACCGTCTATACCTCTCTCAAGCAGCTGACTGATTTCCGTCCATCTGTCACAGCCGGTCAGCGCTTTTCTTCACTCTCAGAAGCATTTTCGAGGTACCGTCTCTACCCTTCGCAACTCTTTCAATCTTTTACCGTCTGTATATATATTGCATTGAATACTGGATTCACCCATCACACACACGGCACAGTCTAGGATAGTAGTCAACCGGTCTCCTGGTACGGCTGAGTCTAGGACTGGGGGTGCTGCCTGGGGGTGTTTGGACCACCCTTGCTCTTCCTCGAATCCGACCGTTTATGTGCATGTGCAGGACAATATGGCTCGGACGAAGCGGACGGCCATTGACCCAGATTATAGATTAGACGGCTCAGTTGAGACGCCAGCTGACATAGAGTATGACTATATTCCGGGTGCACCTAGCACTCTAAGTGACGGTATCTTAGAAGACTCTGATAAAGGAGACGACGCTAAGGTCGTCCAACGATCCGGCTCAGAGGAGTCGACCTCACATCAGACGGATGCCGTCAGTGAGGAAGATGAGGCGTATAAGTGGCCGTCTATAACTGACCCAACTGAGGTGCGCATGTCCGCCAGAGATATTGTCACCCTAACAGCCACCTTTCCTTCCTCTATAGAAAGATGCCTAGTATGGGAAAAATGGGAAGTAATTGTGCCGCCTGCTGAGGTGACAGTCTACCGGGATGACAACATTAACCATGCCAACAACTATTTCGGCTGTTATGAGGCGGCATTCAAAGTCGGCCTCCAGTTCCCCCTTCATGATGCAATAAAAGCAATCTTGAGGGGCTATGATCTTGGCGTATCGCAACTCACCCCCAACTCCTGGGTGAACATCATTAGCTATATCGCCGCCTACGAGATGCAGGACATAACGCCTAGCTTAGAGGCGTTTGCACATACGCATTACTTAAGTCGCGCCCCAGGCGGCTGGGAGGCGTGGTACACTTTAACCACGCATCCGGAGTATATGATGACACTTGATAAATCGTCTAAGTGGAGCAACTGGAAGAGCAAGTTTTACTTGGTTTCCTCTCCTATAGACGTCTGAATCGTAGGCTCCGTCACTATAATAAAGAGCTGGCTCTCTTGGGGAAAAAGTGTGTCCTTTCGCGTGTCCTGGAGGAGGCTTGAGCATAAATAATGGAGCCTGAATTTTTCAAAAGGACCACCATGCCTCTGGATGATGGAATTGAAATAATTGTACCCAAGAACTGGTACCCCATCCGGACTGGCTTAAGGATAAGGCTTTCCTCTCCGCTTGTGGCTTGAGTACCCTTTTTGATAGACGTACGTAAACCACTTAACCGGCACATTTGTGCCGCCTCTATTGTTCTATGTTGTATTGTATTTAACCAACCGATTTTCCTTTTGCAGAAAAAGGTCTAGAAATGGTTCCGCCTGAGAAGACGCCGGCTAGGTCAGCAGCCCAGATTTGGAAGGATCAATTGGAAAAGAAAAGGGTCCAACCGGCGGCCAAGGATGATGGGGTAAGCAGCAGTTGCATCCTTTATCTTGTAAAAATTTTGTCATCAGGCGGCTTTTAACCGGCTTTGACCTTGGTGTTTGACTTTTCAGGGTGGGAGTAAGAACATTCCACTCTCCATCTCCAAGATGCTGCTCAAACGGAAGGCTGAGGAACCTTCCAAAGTTCCCTCTGAGGCCAGGAAAGCCCCGCCTGCCCAGTTGGCATCATCAAGGCCGCCTATACATGATAAGCCAACTTCTGCAGGAAAAAGCCTGAAAGATCTCGGTCTGAATACTAAGACGGCTGACAAAGAGTCGGGCGTCCCTAAGACGCCGAAGAGTGGCATGCCACTCAATGCTGCATCCAGTTCTGCAGCGGCTGGGGGTGGGGTGACCCCCCAGTCTGAACCTCAAGGTATGGCTTACAACTTTGATCCCTCATGGCTGCTTGGGCCTATGCGAGTCAAATCTCAAGTTACCCAATCAAGGGATTCTTCTAGTAGCCGACACAATGTTGGTGCCGCCTATGCTGCTGTCTCACCACATCATTCTCTTGGTGCAAATGCCTCTCCAAGATGGTTTGACCTCCAGCAATATTCCAGACGGATGCTGAGGTACCTTACCAGGTCTGAAAAGGAGTCGATCTCGGGAGTGCATCAGGTCAATATGGACCGCATCAATGCCTTGCTTGCTAATGTAACCTAACTTTGTGCCAACTGTGTTCACTGAGCTTAATTAACCTTTGGCCGGCTGAGGTATCCATGATGAATCAACCCTTTGCCGGCTGCGTTAGCTGAAATGAACTAACTTTTTGCCGGCTAATCTTTACAGGTAATGTTGAGAGGTAGAAGGGATCAAAGCCCTTTTTAAAAAGAAACAAGAGGAGGTAAGAGACGCCAATAAACGGGGGGCTGATACCCTTGATGTTTCTCAATACAAATGTATTGTGCAGGAAATTAGGACTAAAGCCAAGGAGATGAAACAGGAGGAGCTAGTAAAGGAGCTCACGACTGCTGTGGAGACGGCCAATAACAAGGCGTCTGACTTTGAGCTCTAGCTTAAAAATGCTCAGTCAGACCTCAAGGCCTTGGAGGATGCTGACAAAGAGAATACCCAACTTCGAGCAAACGTCTCTCGGTTAAAGATTGAGTTGGCCTAGGTGCAGGCTGACCACAAAGCTGAGCTGGCGGATGGTGGATGAGAATGAGCGTGATTGCGAAGCACGCATGAAGATAACATGGAATCTCATCCATCCGGACTACGACTGAGACTTCTTCAACTTGAGGTAT